GCACCAAATAAAAAAGGTGTGGCCCTAGTTGGTTTGGCTCAGTGGACAGAGCGTCGGCCTGTGGACTGAAGGGTCCTGGGTTCGATTCTGGCGGGCACATTCCTGGGTGGTGGGCTTGGGAGTGCAGGAGGCAGCCAATCAATGATTCTCATCATTGATGTTTCTATCTCTCTCTCCCTCTCCCTTCCTCTCTGAGATCAATAACGAAATATATTTTTTAAAAAGTGTGTAAGCCAAGGCTGGGTAGCTCAGGTGACTGGAGTGTCATCCCCATGCGCCAAGGCTGCAGGATCTGTCCCTGGTCAGGGCACATACATGAACCAACCACTGAATGCAGAAATAAGTGGAACAACAAATTGATGTTTCTCTCTCTCTCCCTCCCTCTCTCTCAAATCAATAAATTAAAAAAAGTACATGTAGAAAATATATAAAAGAACCCAGGACCATGCCTAATATCTACCTGATACACAGAAGGTACTCAACAACTCTGAATGGAAAAGAATTAAATCCTCCCTCCCATAGGAAAATTCCAGGTATCCCCCAACTTTTTTTTTGAATACCTACTATTTGAAAAGCATTCTGATATGTTTCTGTTCTTCTTTCTGTGCATAGGAGGGAGAGATACAATAGATGCTGAAATCATCTCTGTCTTCAGGGAATTCTTTCCGCACTGCTCCAGGAGGCTGTTTCTCTAGCAAGTCCATGGAGTGCCATCCCTTCGGATGATCTGCTTAGCTTTGCGTTTTGGCCTCTCCTCCGGAAAATGTCTCAGATTTACCCTCACCCACTCCCTAGTCCAGCCTAAAATTCCTCCAATCACTTAAAAAGTATTTTTAAATTGATTTCAGAGAGCGGAAGGGAGAGGGAGAGAGAGATAGAAACATCAATGGTGAGAGAGAATCATTGATTGGCTGCCTCCTGCACGCCCCCTACTGGGGATTGAGCCCACAATCCAGGCATGTGCCCCGAGCAGGAATATAACTGTGATCTCCTGGTTTATGGGTGGGTGCTCAACCACTGAGCAACGCTTGTTGGGCCCTCCAACCACTTTTAAGGGTGGGCTCAAATTGCCGTTATCTGAGAGCAGAGGCTGGGTACTTTAGCCCTCTTGGGGTCTGTCTCTAATCAGGAGACTGGAGGCCGGAGGACCTGTTGGCTGGATATCGCTATGATATAGGCCTGAGATAATGAGGGCAGGGACCAGGGCTTGTCACAGGGCTGTTGGGTTGGGGGAGGGAGCACCGCCTGGAAGAGACACCATGAAGTTAGAACTGACAGGGCTATAATTTGCCTATAACTTTTAATTATGAACTGAGCTTATCTTTCTGAACTTCTGGTCTCCTAACTCATAGCTTTTTTCCCATTTGTTCTTAATGATCTGAAGTCTTGGAAACATTACAATCTGAGTAATTAGGCACGATGACCTGGGGTGGGTTTTGGAATGTTGGTGCCAAGTCATCACTTCAAATACAAATGCTTCTTGTATTTAAAAAAGCAAGATGTGTTATTCCAAGCCTGGACTGTTAATGAAAGATCTGGGGAAGGAGAAAGCGGCTGGGGAACACTCAGTGACCACCCCAGATTGTTACTATGTCCAGAGATAGGGATGTGATTCTGAAAAGGCAAGACCTGTTGGATAACGCTGGCCTCCTGGCTCCCATGGACCCATCTTACAGGTGAGCTCTCCTCGGAGAAGGGCCTCCAGACAAAGATGTGGTTCCCAACTGGGCTGCACATGGGGATCACCTGGGGATTCTTATAAAACACCGACACTTGGCTGCCACCCGACATTCTGACTTCAGTGGTTGAGGTCCAGCCTGGCACTGGGCAAAGTTTGGGAACCTCTAATAGGAACGAGCAGTTGATTTGCAGGGGTTCTCACATGGACTCACCTGGAGGACTTGCTAAAACACGGCTGGCTGGACTCCACCCCGGGAGCACCAGTAGGTCCGCGGTACACTCTAAGAATTTGCATTTCTACCCAGTTTCCCAGTGATGCTGGTAGTCAGGGCCACACTTTGAGAACCATCGGCTTAAAAGAGCTGGGTCTGGCTTTACTACTTATGAGCCATGTGACCCTAAGTATGACACTTCATCCTAACAAGTCCAGTTTCTGTATTTATAACATGGGGCAGCAATGGTGATGATCTCCTTGGTGGCTGTGTGGGTCAAAGGAGATGGTATTTGTAAGTTGCTTGGCACAGGGTTTGACCCATAGGGGATGTGCAACCCGTGGTGGACTTTATTCATACGATTCCTCAGCTGGGGTCTTGGCAGATCTGTCCTTGTGTCCAATGTGTTAGTTGGTGAATGATGTTATGGTGTGTTTTTGCTCCTGGACATCCTACTTGTAGGCTTTCTGGGACAGGAACGGGGATACCCTCATGAGCTACAAGTGCTCCGGGGTCCATCAGAGTAAGGGCCCAGCCTGGAGGTGTTGGCTCTTGTTCATTGACGATCATCAGTCAGACTCTTCACCCGACAGCGGTGGCTGTGGGCTGGGACTGAGTGTGCTCTTCTGCCCAAACTCCATGTCACTCTCACAATTCAGACACATTTAGTGCAGTGAGTTGTAGTTGTCCTGATGTCGCCTTGGCAACCAAACGGCTACCAAGGGAAGTGGGAACAAGGCCCCAAGTCGTCCTGGAAACCACAAGTTGTGTCTTTGCGAGGGGGGTTGTGCATCTCCACACACTGTCTTCTTTTTCTCATGTAATTTGCCCAGAACCCTCTTCAGTGTGTCGTTACCTCCCTCCCCCATTTCACTGAGCAGGGAACTGAGGCTCAGCATGTATGTCCCCTCTCGGTCTCATTATCCTTCCCTGGTGATGGGATGCCCACGGGTGCCTGCAACTATAAAGGCAAAACCAGCCGGACTGCACCACAGCAGAACCCAGCGGCACAGCTGCCCGCCCCTACCGAGCACCCACTGACTTGAAATGTATGAATATTTTTTGTTCCTTGATGGCTCCACTCACTCTCAGGGGCTTCTGGGTGCTTGTTTAGAGTACACAAATCTACCTAATCTTTTCCATGTCCACGTAGTTTGAGGGCAAAGTGCCCTACTTCCATGTAACAGTTGGGAGATCCAGTGAGTGTGGAGAAGGGACATTTGGGATTGGCCCAGGAGGTGGGGAACAGGCCAGTTTCCTCCATTTCAAGTTCTGTTCAGAGTGAAATTCTGCCTATTCCCAGGAACCCCCAGGTAGAGCCTGGGTTTTCTTTTTTCCTCCCTGGATGGAGAACTGAGTGAGACAGGGAATGATGGTGTGGAGAGGCCGGGGAGGTCATGTCCAGGTCATTTCTAGATAAGGACACTGGCCCAGGTCAGAGAGGATGCTGGTGAAAGAACAGAGCCTAGAAAGCCAGTCCCCTCCCTCCATCCTCTCTAGCATGCCTTCCTCTCTGCCCTGACACACATAGGCATTTACCTGTGTGCTGTCTGCTGGTACCCTATTGCTTTCGTTTGATATTAATTTGATGCCCCTGTTGTGATGGGTGCTAGCCCCTCCCTCTGAGGGAGGTATGGTATGGTCCAGTCCAGATAACCCGTGATAGGTAGGCCATACACATGCCCTATAGGCACCATTTATAGAATATTCATGGCAGGTTTAACCGCTTTAAGTAGCCATAGAGCATTTAGGCCTCACAACTCGTGCAGGCAGTTATTAGCGTCCCCGATATACCAGTAGATCAGAGAAGTAAAGCAACTTGCCTAGGATCACACAGCAAACAGGTAAGTGGCAGAGTAAAGATCTGAAGCCAGGCCTAGTTGACTTACCATCCATGTTCTCCAGCCATTATATTATATGACTGCCTGCCCTTGCAGGTAAGAAAGATTCAGACTCAGAGAGGAAGCAGCAAGCCACACAAAGAAAGACTGCCAGCTGCCCAGCCTACACCTTTGCAAACAGATTTGGTTTTCTGGAAAAATACAATTGCTCAGAGAAAAGCGCATATGTCATCATGGCCAAGCCCATCGTCTAATATTGGTGAAAAATGTAAAAAGAAAAACCCACACACATAAAAAACGGACCCAGTGTATATTTCAAATATGAATTTTCTGGCTATTGATTTTTTTCATTGTCAATATACCTACTCACTTGGCTGAAGTTTGTCATACGCTTGTGAATGTTCCCATTTGCACAGACCCTGCATACCCGTGCTTTCCCTCTTGTGCTAAAAAGGAGAGATGAAAGTTATTTTTAATTTGGCCACCGGAGGAACACCCAAGCCTTCCCTTCCAGCAGCTAAGCCTATATGTTTTCTCAACAGGGTATTAATTACCTGGCTCTGGGAGTGACCGGACAGGCGGCTCTGGAGGCTCTGGCTGCCCTGCTGGCCATAATACAATTGCTTGTGAACGTAGCAGGACTCAGGGGCTTCAGCAGGGAGCATCCTTTGATAAACTCAGACATGGGTCCTGGGTAACTTGTTAAACACATTTATTGATTTCTTGACAGTAACCAAACACAGTGAGTGACCATTATAAACAAGGAAAGAAAGGCATTCGTTTGTACTTTGTGAGATCCAGCTGCACCCGGAGAGAAAAGACACCCCTTCCCCAGGAATTTACAAGGCAAAGTGCATTCCTTCAAGGGAGCATCACAGGGGGCGGGGGATGGCAGTTTTAAAACGCAAGGAATCGGTAGCCTGCTAGCTCAGGCTGGAGCTCCCCTCGTATGAATGATGGAGCCACGGAGGGTAATTAAAGTTATACTTGCTTAGCAAATGCATTCCTGATTGCCACAAACTCAGTAAAAAACGGGCTGCAAATGAACAAAACACGTAGATGAAGGAACAAGTGAAACCAAAGAATGCAGCTGCATGGGGCCAGGGCTTAGCCTGTAAGGAGGGAGAACAGACCAAAGCCAGAAAAATAAAATTAAGTCGTTAAACCCATTTATTGAGCTGTTAACAATAACCAAACACAATGTGTGACCTTTGGAAAACAAGAAACAGCAAATGGATCTGATCTTGGCAAATCCTACTACAGATATGTGACGAAGGGGAAATAATTCAATTTCTTTATAGTCTGCGGTGATATATATATACAATGTGTATCTCTTCAATGTCTGTCCTTTTTTTTTCTTGTTAAATTGTTGAGTAAACAGAAGAATCAGAATCTAGAAATAAGTGTCCTTGGCCACCTCTGTCCTGGCTCACCTGCCACCAGCACCCTCCAAGGATCCTAGGACACTATCTGAGATTACTCGATGCAAAGCACAAAGTCTGCTTGATGCTGTGAGAGCCATGTTTCCTCCTCTCTCTTTTGGAAGAATTCTGTATGTACAAAGGCTGAAAAGTCTCACTGGGTAGATTTATTAGTTCAGGAAAACAGTATCAAAATTGTAATCGGGTTAACTGGTTATTTTCTTCTAAGACCTCTTATGAATGAACCTTTTGTTTCTGAAAACTTGACTTCCCATCTTGAAGGCTGTGCATGTATGTGTGTAGATATGTTTGCAGGTGTGTGCGTATGTATGTGTGCGTGTGTGTCTTCTGCCATGTTTTTGCAGACACTTTTCATGAAGATGGGGCCAGTCCAAAGAGTGAATGAGGCTTGAGAAAAGGGAAGGAGCGAGAAGAAAGAAGGGGACATTCCAGGTTACGTCAGTTCACAGTTGTAGATTTCACTGAGATGGAATTCTTCTTGGGCTAGTTCCCTACTTGAGGAGCCATTCATTTACTGGAAAGAGAGAGAAAGAAACACACACACACACACACACACACACACACACAATGTAAAAACAAGGCATAGTTGAACTAGTTGGCACAGAATTTGGGGCACTTACTACAAAGGAGAAGGAACAGGTCTGTAAATGCCTGCTTACTTTTATGTATCCCTAGAACCCCTCTACTTCCCCAGGAACCTCTATTCAAAATTATTGTCCCCATACCAGTCACATGCAGCTACCATAAATTTAAATTAATGAAAAATTAAATAAAAAATTTAGTTGCCTCACTCTACTAGTCACACTTCAACTGTTCAATAGCTACATGTGGCTAGAAGCTACCCTGTTGAACAATGCAGATATAGAACATGTTTATCATCACAGAAAGTTTTGCTCTAGACCACGGTTGGGCAAATGACAGCCAACAGGTCAAATCCAGCCCATATCAGTTTTTATAAATAAAGTTTTATTGGAATACAGCCACACCATTTATTTACATATTACCTATGGCCTCTTTCACACTATAACATCAGAGTGTGGCAGAAAATTCCACATTCAAATAGGTTTGTGAAATGCTACATATCCTATTGCTTCCTCTTGAAGACTGGCATAATTATTATCATTATAAAGGCTTGGGAAGTCTCCCAGTGATAAAATCTATTTAACCCTTTTTAAATCCAGATTTTTCAAACATAGTTGACCAACATCCCTTTTACTCAACTTGCTTTCTGAACATTATTGCTGTAGAGCATTTTGAGAACTAACCCTGCTGGTTCTTTCTCAGACAGGTCAATAATTCTACAATCAGTTCATACTAAGCCTTTTCAGATGCTGATTATTTAAACATAGATGTGATGAGATGAATTGTATACCCCCCAAATTCATAACCTAACCCCTAATACCTCAGAATGCAACCTTATTTGGAAATAAGGTAATTACAGATATAATTAGCTAAGATGAGGTTACAGGGGTGGGCCCTAATCCAATATGACTGGTGTATGTCTCAAAAAGTCCACACCCTGCTGTAGACTACATGTGCTGGATGGATGGGGTCATATCTGTCTGCATCACACTGTATCCTCGTCACCAAGCTAAGTGCCTGGCACATAGTAGATGCACAATAAATAGGGGTTGAATAAAGAGAAGGCTTAATCAATGGGTTGAGTATTTATTTGTCGGTAGCTCTGGCTTGAAGGGAACAGAAAATTATAGTTTTGGCACTCTACATGTGTCTGAGAAAAAAGAAAGAGGAAAATGTGGGGAAAGTAGGAGAGATGAAGTGGGGGGGCCAAAGGCAGTGGTGGTAGCTGCTTCGAGAAGCTGTCTGGTAATATCTATAGCCCCATATTTGAGCAGCACGTTATTGCTACAAAGGGCCTCACCATCCAGGCTCTCGTTCATTCCTCACAACAAGTGGTGAGGTAGATGGTATAGGGATTATCATAAAAAAGTGAGGTCTACTGGGTAAATGATTTGGCTGGGTTTGCATAGTTTGTTAGTGACAGAACCAGGTCCGGAACTTGGGTGTCCTGACTCTGAGTCAAAGGCGTCTCCACGACACCACTCTGCCTTCTTCCTTCCATGTTGAGTGCTGAGTACCATGATCAAACACATACTTAGTGTGCAGAAGGGAAGAGAGAGGGCTGGTGTGGACCAGAGGGTTACAGGAGGTGGGAGTTGTTTTGAATATCTCCCATAGTAGGAATAATTGTCACTTCTAGGGACATAGCACCAGAAAAGGATGCATTCACACACATTACCTCCTTGTATCCCAACGGCCTGGCATCCAGAGCATTTGCTCACCTTTTAGCAGAAAGGGGCTCATCATGCACATAAATAAAAGCTCCAATGCTTCTAGCTGTCTGTTCTAACACATGACCTTGAACAAAATCAGCCTCTCTGGCTCTTCTGTACAATGGCAATGAAAAGGCTGTTTTGCCTGAACCAGAATCAAAACAGAGGAATTTAAAGTTTGACCTCTATCTCTAATATATAGGCTTTATCAACAGGAAAGCGCCATGCACATGGAAGGTGGTGGTCTAAATTATAATTTATAATCACGATTCTGATAATGGGAGAAAACGCCAGGCCTTCAAGGACAGGTGTAAGCAGGAGGACTGAGTTCTGGCCTGGCCCAGTGCCCTCTGAGCCATGCACTCACCTCTATACTGAAGCTTCTGGGCCCGGTTGTTGGGACAGTCCTTCCCCTGTAAACTGAAGTTGATGTTGGTGCGGATACAGCGGTTGTTGAGGTGCTGGACGGGCCTGAAGTTGTCACTCATGCTCAGAAAGATCTGAGATGGCTGATTCTGGCTGAGCAGGCGTAAGGAATGCATCTGCGGAGAGAGAAAGCTGTGAGATCCACCCATCCTCTTACATACACCAGGGAAGAAGACTGTGTAGACTGGCCAAGCCAGGCTAGGGCCATGTGAGCCCCTGGTTGTGCGGATTCAGCTGAGCTGGGGGCCCAATGATGCTGCCATGTGTGGAGTGAGCCTCCCTTGTAGCTCAGTAGCTCATGGATGCCTCTGAACAAGTCGATTACTCTGTTTTATCCTCAAACACACTCTCTGTCAAAGGAGGAAATCCAACTAGCTGTTCTCCAGGGTCTCTTTCTCTTATACCCCATGGTTCAATAATTGTCAACAATTCAGGGAATTATTCCCGCACATGGGTATTATCCAAACTACAGTGACTGGTCCAGGGGCCAGAGCGAAACTAAGCTGGATTAGTTTGGTTCCTTTTCTGTGAAATCAAAGAGCTGGACTGAAATGTTTCCAGCCAAGTTCCACCCCAGGACTGAGAAGCAAAGGAGTAGTTTTGAGCAGGAGAGAAGAATGAAGCGAATGGGTGGCAAGAAGCAGAAGAGAACAGAGATAAAGGGTGTCTGGGGTTCTAATCCCAGCGAGTTCCTGACATCACTTTCTGATATTAAATTCCTTAAGATGCCTAGTATCTCCTGAACAAACATTTTCTTTGAGTTTATCTGGAAGAGGTTGCTTGTCACCAAGAGTCCTAACCAATACAGACAGGGTCAGGGAGTTCAAACTGTTCACACTGTTTTTGGGCTGTAAGTATAGTTGATCCTTGAGCAATGTGGGGGTTAGGGTACCCGCCCTCTGTGCAGTTGAAAATCTGCATATAACTTTTGACTTCCCCCAAAACGTAGTTGTCCCTTGGTATCCATCAGGGATTGCTTATAGAGACACCCCTACCGCCCCCCCGCCCAATACCAAAATCCACAAATGCTCAAGTCCCCTGTATAAAATGGCATAGAACAATGCATAGAGTTAGCTCTCTGTATCCGTGCACTCCCAACCACAAGCAATTATTTAAAAAATTTGCATATAGGTGGACAAGTTATTCAAAGGTCAACTGGACATATCCTGTAAAGGAGAATGGAGTCTGCTTCCTTTGCTCATCTTTCCTCTGAGCTGTCACGGGATCCCAGAATCAGAGCATGTCAGAGCTGGAACAGACTTGTGTAATTTACCCCCGCATCATAAAGAGCAGTATTTATTTCACAGGAGGGGGTGACAGCCCTAGGAGCACAAAATGAGCGCATAATGAACCAAAGCTTGCCTCAGAGGCCAGAGCTCCTGGTTCCAGTCGAGTTCTGAAGGATCCAAGCCAGCGTTATGAGAACTACTATGAGATGCTCTGAAGAACTCCACATTCAAATATGTTTGTGAAATGCTACATAACCTATCGCTTCCTCTTGGAGACTGACATAATTATTATCATTTTAAAGGTCTGGGAAGTTTCTGAACAGTGAAATCTATTTAACTCTTTATTAATCCAGCATTTTCAAACATATTTGACCATATCATCCATTTTGCTCATTTGCTTTCTGAACACTATTGCTGTAGAGCACTTTGGGAACTAACTCTGCTGTTCTTTCTCAGACAAATGGATACTTCTACAATCAGTTCATGCTAAGCCTTTTTAGATGCTGATTCTTTCAATACAGGTGTGATTAATTGAATTGTGTACTCTCAAAATTCATAAGTTAAAGTCCTAATCCCCAATACCTCAGAAAGCAACCTTATTTAGAAATAAGGTCATTTTGGATGTAATTAGCTAAGATGAGGTTATTGGGTGGCCCCTAATGCCATATGACTGGTGTCCTTATAAAAAAGGGGGACTTGGACAAAGAAACACAGACATAGGGAGAACACCATGTGAAGATGAAGGCAGAGTGTAGGTTCGATTCCGGCTAAGGGCACATGCCTGGGTTGCAGGCTCTATCCCCAGTGGCGGGACGTGCAGGAGGCAGCCGATCCAATGATTCTCATCATAGATGTTTCTATCTCTCTATCCCTCTCCCTTCCTCTCTAAAATAGTGTCCTTATAAAAAAGGGGGACTTGGACAAAGAAACACGGACATAGGGAGAACACCATGTGAAGATGAAGGCAGAGTGTGGGTGATGCTTCTACAAGTCAAGGAACACCAAAGATTGCCAGAAAGCACCAGAAACCAGAGAAGAGGCATGCAACAGATTCTTCCTCACTCCCTCAGAAGGAACCAATCCTACTGACACCTCGATCTTGGATTTATAGCCTGTAGAACTGTGAGACAATACATTTCTGCTCTTTAAGCCACCGTTTGCAGTACTTTATTAAAGCATTTCTAGCCAACTAATACAATAGGTATTTCACAAACACAGCCAGTCTTCACATCATCTTCCCCATTCGCTAAAAGACCACAGAGAAGCTCACCTGCATCCTTGTTATATAGACAGGCTTGTTCATTATTATCCAACTTGCCGTCTCATAGCAGGGTGGGATAGTCATCGACCCATCATAAGTAATGAAACTAGAGGTCTCTGGATACAGTTCTTCTATATTAAGTCCCTGTAGTAAATACGCATCATCTAGAGAAGGAAATAAGAATGACTTAAGAATTAGGTTTCTTGAGAAAGTGCTGGTATTGCTGATTATTTTTTCCCTTTTCTGATTCCAGAAGACTGCATCTGTCAGGATAGGCTGCAGTAACAAACAGTTCCCCAAATCTCAATCATTTTAAACCACAAAAGTTTATTTCTTGCCGACATACATGTCCATTCTAGGTTGGCTGAGGGCTTCCTCCATGTCATTGCTGTCTAAACTCTTAGGATAGGTGCCTTCTGGACCTTGGTGAGTTGCAATGATAGGAGAAGTGCCCATCCCAGAAGTGGTGTATGTTACTCCTGTGCACTTTTGGGTAGTCAAAAAAATCACACGCCCAAGGTTGACATCAAAGATTCGAGGAAGCACATTCTTCCTGCAGGATGCAACACTGAATATTGATGAAAAGAAATGTGGTCTATGACAGGGGTGGGCAACCTTTTTGTGAGTGCGTGCCAAAACCAGCAAAATCTCTGACTCAAAATTCTTCTGCGTGCCAACCCTAATTTTTTCAGAACATGTTACGCCTACTTGATATCTCTTAAGGTATACGTATGTGAAGAACCTTGAAGAAATAATAAAATTCATTCGAGCGACAAAAACACAGTATATGATGATGAAAAATACATTTATTTTTTAATGTATACATGTACACTGATAGTCTGACAGAAAACTTTATGACTCCGTGTGATATTATCAGTGGGACTTTTGCTGCCAAGAGAAACATAGAAATTTATTCCCCTTTTGTTAGTACTGGCGGGCAAAGCGAGAGAGAAGGTTTCATTTTTATAGAGTGAAATTTTGAATAAGTAGGTGAGGCGGTTGTCTTGTCAACGAAAACCCGTTGCGTCTGAGGCTGAAACCAAAACACTGGTCGGATCTAGGAAGGCAGGAAGAGTTAAGGCAGAGTTATAGAAATTGCTCTTCCCCTCTCTTGTCAATCCATGTCTATGGTCTTTAAGATAACTTGTTATGTAAAATTATTTATTTATCTAAGATGCACCTATACTGAATTTATCTGAAAAATAAAAAGTCAATATTAAGAAAAAAATTGTAAATGGAAGAGTATAAGAGAGGGTTTTACGTGCCAGCAAAAGTTACTGGCGTGCCATGTTTGGCATGTGCGCCAGGGGTTGCCCACCCTTGGTCTATGACAAGGACACAAAGGAGAGCCAAATATTTGGTTATGGTACCTGAGACCTGGGATCATAGTATTATAGTCACAATAAAATGCCCATTTGAAGGCTTCAGGTTCTGTGGAAAGGTTGCCTGGTCACCATTCTTGTTCCTGAACATTGCTTAATGAAAAGAACATTAAGAACTACTTTTAGAAAGAAAAGTAATCAGGCCAAATCCAATCACAAGACTGAAAAAGTTAAGTCTGACAACAGAGAGAGAGAGAGAGAGAGAGATTGGTTAAGCTGCATTTGGAGACCAACTCTAGGAGAAAGGACTTCCTTTGTCTTTCCATTTAAATGTTTCTGCCTTTCCATCAAAACATCAGAGATTCAGGACACGTTCAAGAGAGACACAGGGACTGGTACATGGCTGGGCTGGTCTGCACCCTGGCTCGAGTGATATGCTTCCATGACAAAGTCATGATGCCTAGAGCACACACTGACGTGATGGACCTTGGCAGTTCGATCAGGTGCCAACACAGCAAGCTCATGTGAGTGTCCATCACTTGGCTCTGTTTCTTGAGCCCCTTGTACGTGTCAGGCTGGGTGTCGGAGAGCAGGATGTAATTAAGTGAAGGCATCAAGGAGCAGCAGACACAGTGATGCGTATCTGCACTGAGTACATTGAGAAGCTGTCAGTTCTGCCTGGGGGTGGGACTCAGGAGAGGATTAGCTGAGGAGCTCACCTGCATTGCATCTTGAATGACAGGAGCTAATCAGTGTGTGGCTGGCAGGGGGTGGCTGTCAAGGGCACTGTAGACAGTTATGCTGGAGAAAGAGCTAAGGACATACAGAGCAGTGCATACCCAGGGACAGCCAGCATGTAGATGAGATGCAGGGGGAAGGGTGTTGTGAGAAATGGGGCTGGAGGGTCAGCAGGGGCCACACCTGAAGGTCCTTCTCTGTGCTGCTGGGAGTTTGGGCTTCATCCCATAGGCAATGCAGAGCCACTGAAGGGTTTTAAGCAGGGGGGCAGCGCGATCAGATGTGCACTTAATGATGCTTGCTCTGACAGTGCTTTGGCTGAAGATTTACATATTGAATGAGAGAAGGAAGCATTTGGCACATCTTTATTAAAGGTCAATGTGATTTGTTTAACCAAGCTTGCCCTCGGAGCATATTGGGACTCAAGCATGCTGCCATTATTTTATTTTATGCGTGGTGGTGGGAATGAGGGAAGGAAGGAGGCAGTAGAATGAGGGGCATTCCAGGCATGACTGGAGGAAAAAAAAAAGGACATTTATGTTTCTCTGAAACCACAACCAGGCTGTGTTGCATCCACATTTGAGGGAAGGATTGGTGTGTGTGTGTGTGTGGGGGTGGGGGGGTGGGGGGGGAGAAAGGGGTAAAAGCACAATGAGGCATATTCATGGATTTAACCCACAAAGCAAGGTAACAATGCTTCCAAAGCAGCGTAATGATGGTACTTCAGACTACCCACTGTGGTCCCACCAGGAGCTTCCTCTTTGTCCAGATCCCCTTAGAGAAATGCAACAGTCGTCAGAGAAGGTAGGCAGCTTCCGCCCTCCCACCACCCTCATTTACCAACTTTGTTTTTTCCACGAATCTCCCTAATTCTCATACTTTACCTTTTGCCCTATTTATTTCCTCACACTACAGAACTTGGAAAGACCCAGTGTGAAGAGGGTGAGCTCTGGACTCAGGCCTGAGTGTGAGAGATGACTTTGCTGTTTACCATCCAAGCGACCATGGATACGCAGACAACTTCTGAGCCTGTTTCCACATCTGTAGTACGCAGATGGTTGGGATAGGCAATGGACTGAATGTTTGTGTCCTCCCCACCCAAATTCATATGTTGAAGTCCTAACCCCCAATTGTGATGGTATTTGGAGGTAGGGCCTTTGGAAGGTGGAGCCCCCATGAATGGGATTAGGGCCCTCATCAAAGCAACACCAGAGAGCTCTCTCATCTTTTTCTACCATGTGAGGATGCAACAAGAATTCTGCAACCCAGGAGAGGTTTCTCACCAGATTCCTAACATGCTGGTGCCCTGATCTTGGACTTTTGGCCTCTAGAACTGTGTGAAGTGAATTTCTGTTGTGTATACGGTACTTTGTTATAGCACTCAGGACTGACGAAGACAGAACACTTGCCCCACAGAGTTGTCTGAGGAACGAATGAGATCAAGTTTTTCAAGTACTTGGCACAGGGCCTGGTCCATGGAAAGTACTCAGCGATGCTGGGGAGCAATGATGTCACTCCTTCCTTCCTGGGCTGTTCTCACCCACCTTCCCCAGGAAAACCACTGCTTGGCCTTTCCGAGGCCTCCTGGCTCTCCCCAGCTGGGTGCCTTCCATTTCCACCATATTTGCTGAATTTGCTTGCCAATAGTTACTTACTGTTTCCACTAAGCTGTGAGCCTTTGGGAGAAGGGCTTCCATCTTTTATCTCTAATCCCAAGCCCCAGTATGGGGTCCACTGTGTAGTGGGTGCTCAACAAACATTGGTTGAATGAATGAATGAATGAATGAATAAATGAAATGGTTTCTGCCCAGCAGCTCCATCTGCTGGTGGTGCTGGTCATAAACTAAGGGAGGAAGAGGCAACATCATCTGCCAGATGATGGGAAACATTCTCGGAGGCTCCAGTCTATACCATTAACTTAAGTATGTGCTGCTCAGCCCTCTCATTACATATCACATCCTAAGATATCAGGGTGAGACAGAGACTGTTGTCTTACCATGTTTCTACACCAAACATGCCCGAACCGCATATTTGCCTTGCTGAAATTAGTGTGCATTTAACATGCAATGCTTGTCTACTTCACTCACCATGTGGACTCAAAGGCTGACACTAAATCAGCGTTCTCTCTTTTAGAAATTGGAATTTGAGAACTATAGGCTACCCTTTCATCTCTTCTTCTCTCCCCACAGAGACTTGCTTGGTGTATTTGGCAGGACACAGGCAATTCAACCCGAGCAAAGAACATGAGCACACCCAGCAGTTTTCAGCCCTAGTGTCAAGGAACACTGGGGCGCCTTCCACTGCTGACCAGGCCAAGAACTAATTATTATTACCCACAGGCGATCGCATCCATGCAGCAGCCCGCAGAAAAACTCCATCTGTGCATGTCAGTGTTATCCTCTGGGCATCGTAGACCAAAGGAGCCTAAGAACTAATGCACTGAAAGTGGCTTCTGGTCCTCAGACTCTCACGGCTCTATTCATTAGTAAGAGTGGCAAAGATCTAGAGGTCAGAGTTGCTTATGAGCAGAGAGACACAAAGGTGCGGTGTCTCCGAGGCCAGTGGGGTGATCATGCATGCCCCTGCTTGCTTTAAGGATATTTGCTGAGAAGAAGTGATGGCAGGAGTTCACATAAATTTTCATGGATAGTTTTATAGAGGGGTTTTCTTTCTTTCTTTACTTATTTATTTCATCTATCTATCTACCTTACCTATCTATCACCTGTCTGTCTATCATCATCACCATCTATCTATCTTAGGAGACTATAGCTTATATGGGACAAGCTCTGGACTTCAAGCAGGCATCTTAATTCAAGTTTAAGTTCTAATTGTGTGCTTTGTCAGTAACTTATTTTTCCTTCATGGCTAAGTATTGTAATCTCTTACTTGGGGGAAATATCCAGATTATTCTGAACATTACTAAAGTCATTTTCAATTAAAAAAGAATTCTATAGACTTCGAAATGTCATTCAACAGAAACAATTTACATAGATACGTATCTTACGTAGGTCAGATTTTTGGTATGACAATGTTGTAATTTTTTAGTATTGTCTACATCTTTGTAGTACAGGGAGACCCCTTGCATAATCAATAGGTATAAAATA